GATTTCTTTCTGTGGATGGGGTTATCTACCCTGCCAGTGCACCACTGCTGGCACGTACTTTCCATTTGATGAGCCCAAAGCACGCTGCAAATACAAATGAACTAAGGTTCCAAGACCAAGCTGGCGGCAGGTAACTGCCATTATCCCCACTCGAATCAAAAAAGCCAGCCCACAGCCAGGCAGGCACTTGGCTGCAGACTGGGAAATGAAGCCCAGAGTTCTGGTGTTGAACTATGCTTTGAACATTTCATATTTTAGTGGTTTCTGACACTTCACCTTCACTGCCTCTTTCCCTCCCTGGACATATACTCCTGGCAGGTGGCATTTGTCAAGCTCAGGCTTGGCACACGTGGATGTTCCTGACAAACCAGGCCAACAGCACAGTGTCATGGGGTCCCGGGGACGAGCACACCAGAGGGTGGGTTCAGGGCCTGATGTTTCATTTGGGCAGGCCAAGCCTGTAGAGTTTGGGAGAAAACAAAGCTCAACAGGAGGGAGAGGAAACAGAACAGTCTGCTGGTTAGATTCTTCCCTTCACCTCCAGAAGTGAGGACCCCTGTCAATGTCCTGTTGTGAAGCACAGTCTGTGGGACAGTTCATCCTCATTCAGGAAATGAGCTGCTTGACATACCAGGTGGAATATCTACACAGCAGACTGATGTGTATCAAGTTAGTAGTGGTTCCTGAAAATCTCTGCTGAACCTGGCTTCCCCTAGGAAAAGCCTAGAACACGGAGCTGTAGAGAAAATGTGATTGAAAGTCACTATTTGTTTACGTTAACAAAACAGTATTAAACACAGGATTTCTTTTAAACGCAAAAGACAAGGAGGAGCAATCTAATTAAAAATAGGTCAGCAGCAGACTTGGGAACATCCTTGTGAGGACTGAAATGAAATGGAAGCTTGAACCATATAAGCAATGCATAAATGGGGAGTGCTGGACTCTTCAGCCTCGCTTTTATTAAAAAGAAAACCAATGGAAATTAACCTGTTAGGGCACGGTGGCAGCACAGCACCGCTCTCACACGGAACTGCACCATGTTTAGCTTATGACGAGGAAAGGGAGTTGAGGGAGGTGGAGGTATGGGGGTGGAAAAAGGGGGAGGCAGGGAAAGTTAAAAAAAAAAACAAAAACCTCTGCCTCAGCAAAAGTTTTCATTAAAATTTTAGACAAATGATCTCTGTGTCCTTCTCCCATGCTGCCTGGGGCTCCATGCTATTTCTATGCAAATAACAACCTCGTGGTTTATATCTTATTATTTCCACCGGAGCTGCAGCGACATGACCCGAGACGTGTGTGAGGTAGACAGCGAAAGAGAGAGAGAGGGAGAGAAAGAGAGGGAGAGGGAGGGAGAGAGATGGAGTGGCTGCTCGCTGAAGTGTGAAAAAATATTGTCAGGAGTGAGCAGCAAGAACAAAAAAAAAATTGCAGGGATAACGTGTTTATTTCAGCCCCTCTCCCCATGTGAACCAGCATCTTTTAAAATTCATTGGGCATCAGGCGATCATGCACAATCCATCTGCTTTCACTTTATCATTTGCATTTCATGCCTCCTGGCTTTTGATGTGCTGATACTTTGATGCAGTCAGGAGACGCGCATTATCATTATTTCAATTTTCAGGGGGGTCAGCGGGCTCAGCACAGGCGCGCGCACACACTCACAGGAGAGGAATGAAATGTCATTTCCACCTCTCCACCCCCTGCTGAAATGCAATGGTGAAGACAAAAGGGGTACAGATGAAATGCAGCCCTGGTGCCCCACACGCGGAGTGCTGGCCCCACCACAGAGCCTCACACCTTCTCCCCGGGTCCTTCCCGTGCCTGTCCGTCTGGACTATAAACAAAGACAGCTTAATCAGGAGCAGAGGGAAACCTTGTCCAGCTCTTGTGCAGTTTCTTGTCACCCCTGACAGGCAATGGGGCTGAGAGAATCCTTAAACCTGCCTGATATCAGGTGTCTCACAGTGATATGCCTCTCTACTTACAAAGCAGCGACACGGGCGCCGTGAACAGCCAGCGTGTGATTAGTCAACCTCCAGAACCAAACATTAGCTTCAGCTAAAAACGATATTGACCTTGAGCTCATCATCTACGTTATAGGTTACAGTCTGGTTTTGGCAGCTGGACCTTTCCCTCTACACCTAAACCCTCAGGCTGGTTTTACATAATGATAATGAACAAGACCAGCAACAGATCTGCTGGCACGTAATGTTTGTCACAGTCCCCTGCTCCCCCTGTAAATTAAAAAGAATCCAGTACTTCACAGGGAAAAAAAAAAAAAAATTGAAAAATATCAAACAACTTTCCAGAAAAAACCTCACTGCTCTCTGAAAGCCTAATTGTCTCCATCGCTGCAGAAACATTTTTGCATTGCACATTCTCTTCTTGCAGAGAGAAGACATTTTGAAGAAGATGTGTATGCAGACACAAGACTACGCATAAGCTCTGTACGGCATCGTCTATGAAGACAGTATTTAAAAGTCACCAATGGAAAAAATTGTCCCAAATCTCTGACACCTAATTGAGAAAAGCTAAAGAAATATTTGCATGCAACTGTGTTAGAAAGCATTCAGTTCCAAGTGTCATGCAAGGAGGCAGTTCCATTTATTTGTTGTTGTTTCAGTCACGGTCTTTCCTCCAGACCCTGCCAGCTGGATGGGTGACCTTCTAACTCTCACCAAGTAAAGCACCGACGTTGCTGCACGGGGCTCTTCTCACCATCTTCTCTAAGGGCACAAGAAGCAGCAAGGCTCACTCACTCCACAGAGACACACTACAATAGGTTTCCACCATGAGACCCTTTTGGGGTCTTACTCACACAGACAAACGAGGACACATCATACATCCCACCCAAACAGCCTCTGCATTCCTACAAGGGGAGACTTGGCTTAACTGGCCCCTGGCTGACAGAGACCTGACTTCTAGCCAGAAGAAAATTCAGACTGTCCATCCAAATTCAAGGGACAAGCGTTGAACATACAAGAACGGGGAGACAGAGGGTAAGTCTGAAGTAGATGCTGCCTCCCTGGCAGGATGAGGCCAATGCGTTCACATTCACCACTCGCTTCAGACCCTCCTTAGGATCTCAAGCGGGCTGAGCTCAGTTGTTTCAGGTTAGCACTGGGTGTCACTTCACTACTTCAGACATACTTCTGGGACACGATTATAGCTGGATGCATTCAAGAAGCTCTGAGCAGAAATGCAGGGACTAGCAAATGAAGATCATATGAACCAGCAGGGCACATCATGCAACATCCAGGAGTGAGTGGGGACTCCCAGTCTCCCACTATTCAAAGACAGGTAAACATTGTTGGGTCTGGGCTTAGCTGCCTGACTAGGAAAGCTGGATAGAATGCAATAGGTTCCTCCTTTGCCTGACCTTTAGGCAGGTAAGAGGTTCAGTGCCTACATAAAAATATACACCTTTCCAACAGAGCAGGGAGGAGAGAAAAGGACATGTGGGATTATCCAACCCACTGAGATTCTTGGGACAGGATAAATCACTCCCAGAAAGCATCTCCTTCTGCTGATGCCTGCTGACAGATGTCAGGTGCTTTATTTAGACTCAATTCTTAAATTTTAAGTGCCTAAAATTTAGTGAGATTAATCTAGTCCTATAAAAACAAACATTCACTCCACGGTTAGAGTGGAGTTAAACCTGGAAAGAAGAGAGCAGAAGAGGAGGACTAAACAGACTGGCCCTGCCATCTGGGAAACTCTGCAGGGTCCCGATCCCCAACAAATGACAGCTGGAACCAGGCAACTTACTCCACTTCAGCAAGCACTAAACTGACTCGATTTCTTTTTAAAGGATGGATCTTCAAATGCCTCTTTTCCTTCCATTGATGCAGGTGTGTGTGATGTGTGTAAGAGATCTAACTGAGGGTGCTGCATCCTAGAGTTGATAGGATCAATGCCTCATTTTCTGCAGAGCCCCCTTTATTCAGGGAAATAATTCAACGAGAGCCTATTTTCCTTTTATCTCCCATTGTCAGGCAGGCACTCCTTGAAACGCAGCTTGCGATGAAGCACAACCACCCCAGGTGCTGGAGAGTGCCTGAGAACAAAGCTGCACAATGGGGAAGGGCACTCGCGCCCGCACAATCCCAACTCCCACGTAAACAAAGCCCTCAGTGAGAGGGACAAGAGCGGAGTCGGCTGTGAGCCGTGTCTGCTCCAGACAAGGAGCTGGAGGCTGCGATATTAATAGGCTTGGGGCAGCAAGGGAGAAAAACTGCCTCTGGTGGGGAAAAAAACAGAAGAGCCACTTTAGTAGCGAAAGCTGTAAGTTTTCTTACGGCTGAGTTATTCCCTCCCTGCCCCCACAGCTGAGATTTCCAGCAGGTCTGACCCCTTGAAAATCACCATCCACACACGCTTCCTCAGGCTTCAGTGCTCCCCCAGGATTAACACAACGCTGTGGATGGCTGAAAGTTCAGGGTGATTCTGGCCCACGTCTTTTGAAACACGGTCTTCCAGACACTGGAAACAGCCCCGTTTCTTCTACCACAGTACACACTGGGTGGGAGAAGATGCTGCCCAGTCAGTGGGCTTGTCCACTTCTGTCATTTAGTCATTGCACACAACCTACGTTAAAAGCTGCTTCTCCTTCTTCCCCTTCACCTGGTTCATGCTCAAGCCCTTAAATCTGCAGTTCTGCCTAGGTCCCCTGCCAATCTCCAACCAGGATGCCCAGAATAGTGCCTCTGGCTGTCAATACAATGTTCCTGTCAAGTGAAACAGGAGCATGAAAGGACTGCTTTCTGACCAGAGAGAAAAGAAGAAAGAAAAAAAAGACTGCGAAGGCATGAAAGTTTCATAGCTGCTGCCCTGTGTCAGTTCTCCTCCTTGATCGGTGGGAGCCCGAGAAGGGAGAAAGCAAAAGGGACTAAGTGCGATGACAGGTACCGCGGTGGCAGCTCCTGGAGTCTCCAGCAGCACTCACCAAAAATACCCAACTCAATTCACAGAGCTCTGAAGACTGAAACACAAAGACTTACTTTGTTGAGAGCTCCACAGCCAGTCAGGATTATATGAGAGTTCTCAACCTGGATAGTCCTCTGACCTAGCCGAACAAGGTAAGCCCCAATTCCAATTGCCCGACATGTAACCTTAAAAAAAAAGAAAAAAAAAAGAAATCACATTGATTTCTGTCTTACCACAGAGCCAAAAGCTATCGATTCAAACATCTAGATAAAACTAGGCGTGTTTGTATTACAAGACTATAAAATCTACTCTCACTGCAAAACTCCAGGAGCTACTTTTTTCTAAAACACAGTATCTGAACATACGTGTATTTTATTTAAAAAAAAGGAGAAGCAGTAACTTACAGAGCAAACACGAAGCCAAACGACTGGTTTCTAGAAGCGGTTTAAATTTAGTCTGAAAGGGCCCCAGCCCTGCAATGGTGTCAGTAACATTGCTCAAAGCCTACAGGAGCCAATTTACATCAACCAGAAGTCTGATCCCAGATGTATCTTCTGGGTATCATTGCAGGATTTTTAGCTGAAACAGACAATACAGTTTGAAGAATAGAAAGCAGTGGGGGATTACCAAGTTGATGGTGATAATACTCTCATAGGCTAAAGATGATTCTCCAGCAATCATGCCAGATCCTCTGAGGTTCTCTATTCCAAGTCCGTCTTCCTTTCCGATAATATCTGTTATCTTATACCTGAGGGAGACACAGACAGCCTTTGAGTCACAAGGTCCAGTGATTTGCTGAATCAGTCTGCTACAAAGAAAATGAAAAGTGGCTAAATATCATTAAGGTTCCAAAGAGTAATGTGCATAAAACCCGGCCAGGATCCGTACGTGGGCTCATTCTGCAGCCTGAACACCATGGAATAGGCCTACATATGAGCAGGCACAGCAGCACTGCAAAGAGGAAGAGCCAAGGGAGAGGAACGCCTGTGAAAAGTGCTCTTCTGTCATTCCCACGGGACACGAGGAGCAGGCTGATTATACAAAAAAGGGCAAGAAAGGAAGAGAATGCAGCCAAAAGGAAAAAGAAATAGAACAAGAGATTATAATGAGGCTCTTGCCTTTATTTTCTTCTCTCATGACTTCCTTCCCCAGCACGGTCCCTCCTTACTCAGCACTCTCAGACTGGAGCCTATCTTTTCCACTAGGCCCTTCCTAAGCAAAATACTTGAGCACCTGCTTAAGGGCTTCACTGAAGAGAGCCTCTAGCTTCCCCACCACACAGACAGGCACCCTGCACCCAGCACCACCCTTCTGTTCCTGCAGAGCTCGCCAGTCTGCAAACTAGGCCTCTTTTCCCTTCCTAAGCACACCTTCCTCTCTCTAGGGGGGAGCACCACTACGGCTGCAGTCTGAAACAGCTTCTTTGCACCTCATTTTCGGATGTGCTGCCTTTGGGGTGTAGCTGGGAAGATGCAGACACCACATGTGTGGAAAAACCATAGGCTATGAGGCAGTTCAGTGCAACTCCCGCAGTCCAACCCTTCAAAATGAATGGAGGACTCAGCCTTCACTCAGGAATTCTTTTATCCTTTCAACAGAATCTGGCAGAAAAGTATTTTTTCCAAATTTAGGCTGCAAGTCTTGGGGCAAGAATCAATGTTCTGGTCATCTGGTGTTCACCATGACTTGGGCCCCCAGGCATTGCCTCAAACAAGGCACGGCTTGGTACAGCTTTTAACTCTCTTGTTCCGTGCTCTGACCACATGCAGCTGTGTCTTGCTGCGTACCTGGACGTAAAGATCCTGAAAAATGTCCTAGCTGAAGACAAGGATGTGCCCGTGCATCCCCTTTCATACCCAAGGATGAACAGAAAGTTTTTCATTCTGACCTGTCTGTGCTTACCTGGACTCTCCGTTGTCCTCCACATGTTCACAGTGAACTGAGTTCAGGGCACTGACTTTCTTATAGTCTTGAGGAGTCAGGTACAAGTATTTGTATCCCTGCAGGGAAAAACAGTTCATTCATCTCATCCCCATCTGTAGCCCCCTCCCAATTCCCAATAACTCTTTCTTAAAAGGCAGTTTCAAGGGAGTAGAATTTAATTCCAATAGTGGTAAGAACATCCTCTCTTAGCATCAGAGCTCCAGCTGAGGCTGGTGAAAGCTAGGGATGTTTTCAACATTGAGCACTAACTCATTCTGGATGCCAGTCCTGCTGCCCGAGAGATCCAATGCCAAGAAGAACTTTCAACCTTACAGTCTGGCAAATATTTACCCTCACCTCTATTAGAAGAGGCGGTGTAAAAATGTGATTTTTTGGTGAGCTATTACAGTTTCACCTCCGACTCCAGTGCCTCCTTACCTTGTATGGGTCATCTGGGTCTTCCCAAGCTACATGGAACATGTGCCGAATCTCCTCAGCCAAACCAATCCTGGCTCCACTGTTGGCAGCCACATAGATACGGGGGATGCCATGTGTTCGAGCAAGCTCTGAAGCCCTGAGGAACAGCACATCCTCTTGAGGCCCAAAGGAACCGATTCGGTATGTAATGTCATTGCCAATGACAATGATATCCCGGCCCTCTGGGTACTCGGGGGTCTTCAGAGTCATCTTCCAAGCCACCATCCCAATCTGCAATCAGAGAGCAGAGAACAAAACCCAAATGTTTATCTTCAAGATGTGAAAGGGAGGAATCATGCAGGGGCCATTGCTCTTACGTGTGTTGCACTTTGGGAGCTCCAGCAGCAGCGGCCCTGCATGTGCAGCCGGCGCAGAGACAGCTGGCGGGGCTCCATCCCCTCCCCACTCCCTGGAGCACATCCTCCATTGCTCTTTTCCCACCCAAGGCACCGATACTGGCCCTCATCTCCCCGTTCAGGGATTTGTCACAGGTCCAAACCGCAGTCTGCAAATGCCCCTTTCGCAGGGCGCTGCGTTTATCCCTTGTGCCAGAGCTGAGGGTGAGGATGGACACGCTGCTGTACAGGACGCCCGACCATCTGCTGAGGCCACCCAGGTATCACCCCAGAACCTCCTCACCCTGGTTCTCTCTCATCTAGCCCTCATTTTAATAATCCTTTTATTTCATAAACACCTCTTTTTTTTTTTTCTTTTTTTTTTTTTTTTTTTTTCCCCCCCTGTCCTTCCTTTCTATTCTTGGGGTCTTCCCTTTTTCCTTCCCAAATACTGCAGCAGTTCCTTTCCGAACCTGCCCGGGTAAGTAATGCTTTTCGCTGCATATTTTTCTTTTAAAAATCAATGGATGATCTCTTCTGGCCCGTCTTATGGAGATCAGCAACATCTGTACCCTGCATCTCCCATCCCTCAGCTGCCGCGTGTCGCTGCACCGGGGAGCTGGCCATCCTGGAATGCCATTAACAGATGGAAATAGCAGCGTCCCTTGAAAGCCACATGCATCACCCAGTCTCTGCTTGCCCAAGGATCATAAGCTCCGAGTACACATTCCTCAAGCCGATTGCACATCCTCTGCAATCAGGAGGGTTGAAACTCTCATTGTGGAGACTCTGAATTCTGAACATGATGAACTAAAGCGGGAGGGGGAGAGGGGAGAAGCAGCAGATAGATATGTGCCATTTAATCCAAATCAAAATGGCACAACACACAGTTGAGATCCAATCAGCATCTGCAATAAGATACGCCATAATAGGCTCATTAAAAAAAATAAAAAGGCAGAGGAATTAATCAAAGGGTCATTGGAAGTAAAGCAGGCAGCAATCCAAAAATATTAGAACCAGCTACTGGCAGATCCTTCCCTTACACCTCCCCTTTTGAGAGCTGAGATTGCAAGTTAACAGAGGGATGGTGTTTCAGTTCACCTTCTCCTTGGTCGCAGTTTCATCCACTGCTATTTTGACTGATATGTCGTAAGGGATTAATTTGTTTGTCTCTGAATATTTGCAGATTTACAGTTACATCTTAGCAATCCAACTGCAGTGTTTGCAAGAGAGAGATACTGCAGCAAAGGCAGGAGAATAAATCCCTAGAAGTCAGTGGGATGCTTTGCTAAAGTACCAGTATTATTGCAAAATTAAAAGGAAAAGTTGTAAGGCTGTAAAACAAGTGGATGCAGCTGCTGGTCGGGCACACAGACCAAAAAGTGTGTGCAAAGAGACCAGGGGTCACACAAACCAGCAGTCCAGAGTCTGGAAGAGCAGCCTAATTCATCCCAAACAAACCTATACAGCCAGAGGGGTTCCTTGGCCTTAGAACAAAGGTGAAAAAAAGAAGAAGAAATGTAAGCTTTGTCCTTCTGACCTGACCGTTGCAGGAGAAGAGATGCCAGGGGCTGGATATTGTGTCACTGTTCTAACTCTCAACTGCGGCGAGCTTGCAGTTAGAAACAGCAGGTTAAAAAAGTCTGCAAATCCAAAGTTAAAGGCTCCAAGATTAGCTTCTAAGAAATAAGGGATGCCCGTCACCTACTGCAGCTCAGTTCTTTACCAGATTTTACAGGGTGTTTGTTTCCTGCAATAACTAAAATCCCTAAGTAGGAACTTACCAAATCCTTCTGATACCACCTCAGAAACCAGCTTTAGTTATTGACAGAAACCCGCAGGGAAGATGTGGTAATAGCCTCTTTAAAACTGTACTGTAAACTTGTTTCAAAATAGGACAGAAGTAACAGTAATTTAAGGTTTTTGCCTAAGTGGTCATTTCCTTACAGCTACCCTGATCCACCAGCCAGGACCACACCAGGAAGCTTCAAGCACCATCAGATGAACACAAGCCACACCAGCAACAGGACGAACGCTCGGGGTTTTTACACGTTAAATGTTTGTCACCGCAGTGAACTGCAAGGTAGAAACACGAAACATCACTGCCAGAAACCTACACAATAACCACAACATACTGAAAATAAAATCCCAGCACCCTCAGCTCTCACGTGAGGCAGCTGAACTAACACTGGCTCCAGGGCTCACGACCAGCGACTGAGCTCAGCGAGTATCCAGGCAGGATTGGTCCCACAGACTGTCTCGCCTATCAAGAGCTAAGAGATTCTCCCCACTTTTGTCAGCTTGATGATTTTTTACAGTACAAAACCCAGGAAAATTAAAATAATTTCCTATTTAGAAGGAATAGTTCCCTAACCCAAGATTATGTATCCTGTACGTAAATAAAATCCCTTTTGTAAATGCTCACTAATAGAATAGGGAAAAACTATCTAGCCAGGGCACAGCAAACACAAACTCTTGAAAACAGTTTATAGCTGATAAATATCAAGCGACCATATGTAGTTTAAGAAAAGAAAATTGAAGTGCACCACTTCATGAACTTGTGTCTTTTTGCCTCCCCAATACAGACTGTGTTTTGTGCCATTTATCCAGTAATAAAAATCACAGGGCACAACTAAGGATTTTTTTTTTTTTTTGCTATGAACAATGTAGATTCTGGTTAAATTTATGGGCAGCGGAGTATAGCTTTCTATCTCAGAAAAAAAAAAAAACCAAACAAAACAACCCAAGATGAGATTTTTAAGTTAACGGCAGCATGCCAAAAAAATGGAGAGTTCACAGGTTAATTAGACAGGCTGAGCTAATCACCTAAGAGCACTGTCAGAACAATAATGGGTGATGGTAAGCGGCAGTGGCTTCAAAATGGGCTCTTTTTAAGAGCCAGCACAGTTTGGAAGTGCTGCTCCCACCACAGCTCTCTTCCCAGCACACCCAGGAATGAAGAAGAGAGGCAGGAAAAAAATAAAAGCAGGCACCGTCTTATTTAACTGTTTTTATGTTGGCAAAATGATTTGTGCCACGGTATTTCCATAAGAAGTGGAACCATTATTCTCCTGTAGGAACACATTTGGTTTGAAAAGTATCACTGGACAGAACGTGAAAATCAAACCAGATGAATTATTCACAACCCCCGATCAGAAGTGATCATTATTTCTGATGTTCCAAACTGTGATTAGGATTCAGTGCTCAGATGTCATTTGCTCCCTGAATAGCACCAGCAATGCAGAATTGCATGACACACATATATTACGCACAAGTTTTATATATATAATTTTATACACACCTTCTCCCACTAGATCTTTGGCTTAATGTAACCATTAACGGATAGTAAAAACACAGTATTAACTAACGTTCGTTTTCATGGTGCTCATAAATGCCATTAGTTTGACACACAGTGTCAACACTAATCATGGCCTAAAATTAACACCAAAATTGACTTCAACATTAATTGCGCTATCGATGTGAACAGTAATACACACACTGATGCAGTTACAAATTGACTGCTGGTGGCAGTCGGAGCTGTTGACAACAGGCACCGAGGGGAATGGGGAAGAAACCGATCCCGGTTTCCCTCCTGGAAGCACAACAGCCTCAGACGAAGGGAAGCCAACACAAACGGTGGCCAGTGTTCGGGCAGAGCGAGCTTGGAAGTCTCTTTCTAGCAGGAGTGGTAATTCCTGGAGAAACACAGCTGACAAAATCTGATGTAAACACAAACAGCTTATTATTTGACAGCATCTACGCTTGAGCCACGCCAATGGTGTTCATCTACTCCTGTCACAACCGGGATGATGCCTGAGCCTAGGTACTTTATGCTGTGCTTCATTTTATTTATTTACAGCCAAATCTGGAAATCTGAACGTGGGTCTTGGAATCTCTAAGTAGGACAACTGAACTTACAGAACCCCGACAACAATTTTGTCTTGCTCCCATCTGTTGCGTCTGTATCGTATTTGTCAAAAGTATATGTAAAACACGAATACATTTGTATGTCGGTATTTATTACAGACAAAAGTTATAATAAGAAAAGAAATGCAACAGTTGCAGCAGTCTAGCACGTGAGCAGTGGGAAATGTTGAAGCTGAACGTTAATGAAAGCCCATTTCTCCCCTGCTGCACACACATGTTCAGACGTTGTTAAATCAAGGAACGTGTGCTTTATTTCCCCTTCACAATCTCTGTCTACGCTGGGGGTAAACTGTGTCCACTGACCCCAGGATGCTGGATCACTCTGCTGCGTGGCCATGGACAAGGTGTGTGTGAGGAAGGGAACAAAGACAGCCCCAGAAATACTACTTGCTGCAGACATGGCAATTCTGGCATGCCATCATGCGAATCTGATGCCCAGAGAGACTCTCTGCACTTATACTGTGACCTAAAGCTGTAAAATTTTTATCTTTGGCATGAACCAACTCCCAGAAAAAGGGCATGGTGCACGTGGCTTGCTAGAGGCATTCAGACTTAATGCCTTGACAAGGGTGGAGTGCCAAAACCCAGGATTCCTTCATTCTCTTCTTGGCTCTGAAAAAGGTGTCATTTAGCGATCAGAGCAGCGGTGGCGGGCGGCACAGCCAAGCACGCGTTGGCACGGTTCTGCTGAACAGCACGCGGCCAAGTGGATGAGGGATGGGAACAAACAGTTCCAGGATGAGAGGTGACAAAGGCTCCCTCAGTGCAAGGCGTCGTGCAGTACCGTGGGCCCAAGGAGACGTGAATTCCGTGTTGGGTCCCTGCGCTAGACCAAAGGGCACTCGGACAGCAAGTCAGGCAGCAAACCAGCAAAAGGCTGGCTGATGTTCGGGGAAGGCAGATGGACACCCTGAGCCCCAAAGGGAAAGCTCAAAAAAAAAACCCCGTTAAAGACAACGTGAAAGCAGT